GGAAAGGAAGAAAATCCAACTTGAAATACTTCAAAGTGTGGGGGTATCTAGCCAAAGTCCAAGTTCCTATTCCTAAAAAGATTAAAATAGGACCTATGATTGTGGACTGTAAAATTAGACTTGAGTAGTCTAGTGTAGGGTCTAAAAGACCTTGGAAAGAAAAAAAGAGAACGTACTTAATAAAGAGATTCAGAGGCGTAGTACATGTCAAAGGACATCTACTTCCTTCGAATATGATTTTGTAATATTTCTTGCGTCTTCTGTAGACTCATCCTTGTGGAAAGATGGTGTCAATAGTGAGATTGATGCAATCTTGAGTAACCATTGAAGTTAATTGATCTTCTTCCATAAAATAAACTTTTGGGTTCAAAGTGAATTTTCAGAAGGAAAATGAAAGTCCATGGAACTGTTGACAAATATAAAGCAAGACTTTTTGTCAAAGGTTTTAGACAAAAACAAGGTCTTGATCTTGTCGATATATACTTGTCAGTAACTAGAATTACATCCATTCGGATGTTAATATTATTAGTTGTGGTATATGACCTCCAAATTCATCAAATGAATGTGAAAAAAACTTTCTTAAATGGAGAATCGGAGGAAGAAATTTACATGGAACAACCCGAGGGTTTTGGGGTTCTTGGTAAAGAAAAAAAGTGTGCTTACTTGTTAAGTCACTTTATAGACTAAAACAAGCACCCAAACAATGACAAAAGAAATTTGACCAAACCATGTTGGCAAATGAATTTAAGAATGATGGAGTGATAAATGTGTTTACATTAAAATCACACGATCATTGTTTGTTTGTATATTAAGTGACATGTTGATCATCAGTAGAGACACAAATGACATAAATGCTACTAAACGTATTCTAGAAAGCAAGTTTGATATGAAAGATCTTGGAGTTGCTAATGCGATCTTAGGTATAAGAATCCTTAGAACTCCATAATGTTTAGCATTGTCACGGTGTCATTGCATCGAAAAGGTACTTGACTAGTTTAAATATTTGAATTTCAATATTGTCAAGACTCCAATAAATGTGAGCTTTGCATTTCAAATGAGTGAAGGCGGAAGTGACTCACAATTGGATTGTGATAGAGTATTGAGAAGTATGATGTATATCAAGAAGTGTACGTGATCAAATATAGTATGTGCTATTAGTAAACTGAGTTGGTTCACGAGTAATCCCAATCAAACTCATTGTATGGCAATGAAAAGAGTTTTGGGGTATTTAAAACATACTCAAAATTATGTCTTGCATTATAACAATATCCAGCAGTATTGAAAGGATATAGTGATGCAAATTGGATCACCGAGAAATGAAGTAAAATCCACAAGTGGATATGTATTTACTCTTGGTGGAGGAGCAGTCTCTTGGAAATCTTCCAAAATACATGTATTGCTAGCTCTACTATGATCTCTGAGCTAGGTGCTCTAGATTAGGCCTGTGAATAAGTTGAAAGACTCCGGAATTTCTTGATAGATATTCTTTTTTGGTCCAAACCTTTGGCATCAGTATGCATACACTTTGATAGTCAAGATGCAATAGGTAGGGCATGGAGCATGATGTATAACGGAAAGTCTTATCATATAAGAGATAGACATAATACCGTTAGAAAATAACTACTATCTAGTGGAATTATCACAATTGACTATGTAAAGTCAAAGGATAATGTGTCGGATCCACTTACAAAAAGGCCTAACTAGAGTGAAAGTTGGAAGATCATCTAAGGGAATGGGTTTGCGGCTTAGGACAAGTCATCATGGCGGTAACTCTATCTAGCAGACTGGAGATCCCAAGAGCTAGATTCAAGGAGAAAAACAAAGTTGTGGCTGACGGTTCAACATTGTCAATCAACTCAATCCATTCTCATGATGAAGACAATGTTCGGGAACGAGGTTAAAACATTAAGGATTGTTAATGAGTTAATAAAGCTTAAAGTTTTTAATGATTTGCTAAGTTTGGCAGACTCGACCAAATAATGTATCTATGTGATGACACGGTTAGAAATCACCTATGTGAGGGTGAAGTGTAAGCTGTTTCAAAGTGAATTATTGTCAAAAGCCTATTCTCTATACACTCATTAAACTAGGAGGTGTTCATGACTGAAACGAACACAACTGTAAGAACCATAAACGGTAAAGGGTTAATTGTGTGACATATGGTTGTCTATACACCAAAGCTCAACGGTTCAAAGATATCGCATCTACCGATTGACCGAGTATATCCGACATATGTTCACTACGGAAAGTCCAAGGGGAAACTTATTTATCCAGATGCAATTAATTCTTACTTATAAAGTATACTTACTTGTCCGTTTCTTTGTCTTGGAGTCATTCCCCATTCATGCGGGGAATTGTTGGGTTTTAAAATGTGTGAATGAAAAATGAAGAGTTGCGACTTTTGTGAAGAGTTGTGACTTTTATGAAAAGTTGCGACTTTTATGAAGAGTTGTGACTTTTATGAAAAGTTGTGACTTTTATGAAAGGTTGTGACCTTTTCGAAAGATTATGACTTTTCCAAAGGTTTGTGACATTTCCGGTAAGGCACAATAAGAACATTTTCACACTACTCTTTGTTTTCTATAAATTGAGGGATTTCCTCTCATTTTAGTTGAACGAATTTATCTGGACTTCTTCTACTACTACTAAATCTAGTATTATAAGTGTATTTTACTGTCATTGAGTGGTTCGCTGACACCGTGATTTTAGGTACCGATACACCGGTGAGTAAGATCGTTCTATTCTGGGAGGATATATTCCATTAACCTCGGGTACTTGAGGGGAATAATTTCCTTAAGGGGACACTGTGCATTCAGTGGGCTCGATTTTCTTTCTTTGGAAAAAATATTTTTATATTATTTCTAATGATTCTATTTTCTCTGCTAGTTTTAATTTTCTAGTTTGAAAATACTCTTTAAACTTTGTTGTTTCTTACCAAGTTCTTCAAAGTTTTGTTCTAAGTATCTTAAGAATATAGATGAACAACAATTAAAAGATTCTATAGAAGAAATAGGGGTTCTGCTGTTGGCGGCAACATGTTTGGTTCTGCTGCTGGCGGCAACATGTTTGGTCCCGCTTATGGGGTCAAATCATTAATTGTTTGTTAACTTTTATTTTAAACAAAAAATAGTTTTTGGTACTTGCATCAAAGAAGTAAAGTATATTAAATGGTAATGTTACAATAGGTTCACGTCCATATTGATTATTTTATTGTGTATTTTATATCGTTCACCAATATAATTATCAACATAATACATTCCTCCTTTGACTAAGAATCATATACCATATTATTAAATAACAATTACGCTTCAATTTAAAAGAAAATATTAAAATCAAGTAATCAACTATGTAATGCTCATTATGGATATCGAATAATTAAGCAAGAAAAAATTGTCAATTTTGACTCTAGCTTGCATGTGCAACTAGTGATCGTAAATAGATAAATTAGGTTGAATTTAGATGTGATGAAAACAAGAGTCAAGGAAAATGAGTCAAAGTTCAACTTTTCATATTTTTTGTGGATCAAAAAATTAATTGACTTGATTAATAAACTGATTGAAAATATGCTAGAAATAATTATGTGTAGTTTTATTTACAAACAATTCTACTTTAAAGGTTACCATCTCCCAAAGACAACACATATTTAAAAGAAAAAGGTACTTTAAACTCTAATTATCAATCATAGTGAGTCATAGCAATAATTAGGGTTGTTCATGGTTATGGCTATAAAATCAAACCAAATCGCAAACCGAACCAAACTGATTAAAAATCGATATTTGGTTTGGTTTGGTTTGGTTTGGTTTTAAATTTTGAAAAACCGATATTATTTGGTTTGGTTTTGGTTTTACTAAAAATTAACTGCAAAAATAACCAAACCGAACCGCGAAGTTATATATATAAATTTTATAATTATTTATAAATAAAATATGAGTATTTTAATAAATTTTAATTAACTTAAGTCTTTAATTTTACTATTTTCTAAAGCCCAACACTTAAATTTTAGCCTAACTATTGAAACCTTAAGTCTAAATCCCACAATATTCATTACGATAACGATCACACTTTCTCTGTATTTTATAAAATTTTCTAACGCAACATTGAATAATTTAAAGCTCAAGCTAAAGAAGATGGTAATTGATTAGTTTTGACTATGAAATATTGGTTTTTTTTTTCTTTTGAGAGTAATTTCTCAATATTTTAAGGTGTAATTTTATTGAAAAGTCTATTAACAAGATGTTAGATCTCCAGAATATTGAACCAACTTTATGCTATTTGACAATGAGTTTTTTTAGTTTCTGAAACTTGGTACATTGGATGAATCACTTTGTTCATGTAATAGCTTATTTATGAATTATTCATGTACTAAGTGTTTATGTCTATCGAGATGCGTATATTCTTAACAAACTTATTACTTTCGAACCGAAAAAAACATACCAAACCGACTATAACCAAACCGACGGTTATTTTTTTTATTTGGTTTGGTTTGGTTTTAGAAATTTAAAAATCGATTTAAATTGGTTTGGTTTTGGTTTTAACTAATAACTGATCCAGACCGAACCATGAACACCTCTAGCAATAATTTACTTTAAAAAAACTCGCAATATAGTGTATTATTGCAACTTACATAGATATGCTATATTAAGAAAATATTTATTATTTATAGCAATGACATTTTTTTCTACTGAACACTTATAATACAATTTAGATATAAATATGTGTAGTTCTATTTACAAATAATTCTACTTTAAAAGGTACCTTCTTACAAAGACAACACGTTTTTTTTAAAAAAAAAAAGTAGATATTTTAAGCTCTAATTATCAATTATAGTGATAGTTTAACTAAAACATAGCAATAATTTATTTTTAAAAAAAACAAACTTGTGCTATAGTGTATCATATGTTTTGTATAGTGTATTGATTGTTAAAACCAATAATTATTTATTTTAAAAAGTATTAGCCCAAATAAATATATAATTTAGGGTTGTTTGGTTTAAATTGATTCTCTCAACTCTCAATCGATACAACAGAGCTTCTTTGACGGTGCATAAACTATTAATCCGTAGTCATGCCGCCATTGCCGGAGCCTTTGGTAAGCAACAAATTTGTTTACTCGGACGAAGAATCGGATGACGAGGAATTGGATTCGCTGAAACAAAAGGTGAATGAAGAAGATGCTGAATCCAGCGAGTCCGAAGATAATTCTTCAGAATGTGACACGCCGGAACGGGATGTGGAGAAACTATGGTATCGCCCTTACTCTCGTGGTGATAGAGTCATTGATAAAGCTTGCTTGATAAGGTATTTTGAACAAATCCATGACAGTGAGGTACCGATTTCTCCCTCTTCTCTACTATACTATTATTGTTTAGGGTTAGTCCAATTATGATAATTACCATCGGATATACTAGAATACATAAAATTAGTGTTATCGCAAAAACAGCAATAGATAGCCCTCTTAAGATTGCAAAGAGTTTCTGATAAATAGGCAACTCTAGTATTTTAATTTTTGTTGTGTCGATGTCTAGCATCATATGATTTGAATTCGGAGAGTCCTGAAGATTGGATTTCGAAATTTCCTGTTCTGTTCCTGTGATTATTATTAAGATTGAGCTGATTATCGACTCTTAATAGCGACTTATGTTTGTCTCTAATAGGGATTTGACATCAAAGATTATCCTGGTTCGGCTCCAATGACTTCCATATTTCCCATGCAAGGCTACTTACAACATCCTGAATTTATGGAAAAGATGAAGGATTTTGCTAGACGGGCAATTCAGCACTACAATGAAAAAATGGTATGCTCTTGTCACATTGTCTTTCTAGTTTTCTTCTATAGAAAGCTGATTGAGTATTCTTTTAGGGCACTTCATATGTGGTTAATGAGATTCTCAAGGTTAATGGACATAGCATCAAACACTTCATGTACTATATTACCCTTTCAGTCAAGAATTGCGAGAACGAATATTTTCAAGTTAAGGTGGTGGATCGCCTTCATCTATATAACTCTTTGGATTTCCCAATCGTTAGGCCAAGGGTAATGAGATCTGCTATATACATTCCTTTTTACTTTATATTGATTAATGACTAAGTTTCAGCATTTGCAAGTTACTAACTCTCTCTCTTCTACTTTTATGTATGTAGGCGAAGGGAGGTTTGGACATATAGTAGATGTTGAAGTCTCTACATTTGTGTTGGCTTGGGTTCAAGCTTTAGCTTTACATTGATAGCTCTTGTCAATGTGGTACATTATTACTAGTAAATTATCATCATTTTTTAGTTAGTTCATTGGAATAGTTTAGTTGGTAGTAATTGAAAGTGGATCATCTATTCTAGTCTTGTGTAAAAAGGAGAAAAAACAATTGTGACATTTGAAAGTAGGTCTTTCTTAAATATTAGTCTGTCTTCAAATGCAGGAGCTCTTAACATTCATTTTTGTATATGATTTGAAGTAGTGAGTGTCAAAAGAATGCCATAGAATGCGTGCGTGTTGTATCCTCCTAAACTTGATTTGAAACAGATGTTGTTATGAATCAAGTCCAGCCTAATATGGATACCAAAGTCACACAACTAGTTGTTGGGCTGACAAGAGTTGTTGGATTGAGAACAAGCAATAGGGCCGGATTAATTTGGAATTTGGATTGAGTAGTGGATGTGAGAACAGTTTCATCAAAAAGGAATAGTTGTATGTGATTCAGGGTTTATGCATATCGAAGAAAAATTGTTGCCCTTTCTTCTTCTTCTAGAGTCTAAGCTCTCATTCTTATCAATATCATTAGTTACTTATTATTTTCATTATAATTCAATAGCTTGGGCGTTGCAAGTACTATTCTAAAAAATTATAATCGCATTTTAGTTATGAGCAATTCAGGTTTGTTATAGATGCAACAACATTTTTTTGAGAGCCTGAACAATATAGGAGCAGAGTACCATGAATAAGGTATCTGATGGTTGTATTAGTATCTAGTCAAGTATCATGTTAGCTACGAATTATTTAGCGATAAATTAACTAAATATCGTAATTGATTCATATTATTATTGTAATAGCTAGAAAGATTGCATTCGTCATATTTCTCAATAATTATTGTTATTATATATCTTAAAATAAGTTGTGACATGAACAAAAGGCGTTTAACATCCCTCTAGTGACTTGTTAATTTAGTTTAGTAAGTATAACATGTACTACAAAATGCTAGAATATCATACAGTATACACAATTAAATAAAAATGTTTGGTGACAAATTAAATTTGTTAAAGAAATAGATACTAGTCAAAATCATGCCTGCCTTTTAGCCAACTATCCAGAAGCAATGGTTTTTCACTTGGACAAGTGTCACAACTAGAGCCAATTAAAAATTATGGAGTACTTGTTTTTCCCTAATATTAATTAGTATGTGGACTAATTATTCGAATAATCTAGGTACACACTTAGACTATTCTATGAAATACTTATTAACTTTCAATGACAATATCAATCCAACTCGCTCATTTAATACTTTTATCTCTTACTAACTGTTATAAAATAGTTCAATTGCTTTAGTCGAGCATATTTTATTTAATTTTTTATCAATAGTATATTTTGTTAAATTATCACTTTAACCTTAATTCTCAAATCAAAGACTAAGGACCCCTTGCTCCCGATTCACTCATCAAAATTTACTCGCATACGATATTTACACTAAACATATTTAAATAATGGTTGTGTATTTATACTTTTGACGCGAACCATGATTAAGCAATATTTGTATTTTTTATATATAATATAATAGTGACTTAAAATTAATTTGTTTGATTTTCTCTTCTCTTTTTCTTTTATTTCTTTCTTCTATTTATTATTATTTGGATCCTTCACACCAACAAATAGCCAATTACAAAAATCCCAATTTTTTTTGTGCCTATAAATAAGTGCACAACCCATCCAATTCTTTAAAACAAAACAAAACAAAAACATCAAGAAAAACCAAGTGATTTTAACACTTTTCATGGCTGGCCTTCAATACAATTTCTTCCCAACAGATCTCCTTTATCCTCTCCAAAAAACAAACAAAAACATCAACACTTCCCAACAAAACTCTCTTTTAATCAAAACCAAAAAGAATAGTGATAATGAAATTTTAGATGATTCGAAATCATATAATAAATTCATTAGTAGCACCAACAACAATAATAACATCCATAAAGCCAATTCCTCTTTTGCCTTGGCTCCCATTACAAAGCACGAGGAAAATCAAGATTACGATCAAAATCAAGACTTCTGATTTCAATAAGAAGATCTTGATCATATATTAATTTTGAGATAAGTACATATTATTGTGATCTATGTGAAATCTTCTAAGGATCAACAACGACAACAATAAGGCTCTCAAAGTCATCTCAAAAGAAGAAGAATAAAGATTAAGATTGAGTATATTATTATGGTTTGATATATCCTTTTTTTATAGTCGAAAAATCTCTAAGAATCAGGCGTGCATGTATCTCTTTGTTTCTTTTGATGAATATATGTGTATTTGGAGACCTTTTGGTGTTGTAAAAGGCTTCTCTAAACTCATCAAATGTTATTGATGTATCATATTAATAATAGTTTGTATCATATTAGTTATGAATATTTTCCAATATCCACATGTTTAAGGCTAAAAGAGAGGTAAAACTTATACTATATATATCACCCTTCATTAATAAATAAATAAAAAGGTGATAAAGATATCATTATGAATCTTCTTCCTTCCATTAAGTCAATTCAATTATGCTCATAATCAATTAGTCAATTCAACTTTCTTGTTCATTAGGGAATGCATCAAAATGTTCAATCCAATTAAAATATGTAATTAAATATAAAAGGAAATAAGAAATGAATATTCTAGAATGTATCTAGAACATTCAAGATTGACAAATAAAGTTTAGTTTATTGATCTTTTGACTTCATGAAAAGAAAGTTTTGTTTAATTCTTACAAATTAAAATTTGTTTATAAATAAAGTGTAGTATCAGTGTTTGGAAGCAATATATTCTTTCAGTGATGCTATTTATTTATTTTTTTGTTTATTAACATCCTTTGATAGCTCAGGAGTTTTACAAAAAAAAAAATTGGTCAAATATATAATTAAGCTACATCACATAAGATGAAATACAACAAATATAAATACCTTTGTCATTTTTATAAAGTAGAAGTAGATTTTATTTTATTTTATTTTGTATATTTTACACAAAACTCACAGTGTTAAGAGCTAATTACATCATATACCTACTCTGTTCCAAATTACAAAAATCTCTTAAAATTTAAGGATTTTGGATATATCATTCAACGTCCCGATACATCGCGTTTCGATTTCAGATATATTACTCAACATCTGATACATCATATTCCGATACATTACTTTTGTTGATACAATACACCTATCACAATACATCACTTAGCATTCCCATACATTACCTTTGTTGATACAAGACACACCTATCCTGATTCCAAGAATATGAAAAAGTAGAAATTTTTATAATTTTAGAGAATATGATAAAATAAATTGTGTATTTAAATTATTATTATTATTTGGGGGGTGAGGGTGGGGGGGCAGCCTAAAGAGATTATTACTAGTAGTTAATTGACTTTGTATAATTACAACTTATAAAAAGTTGTGGTCCTCAAAGGACTTTAACCAAACAATGCACGTGAATGAAAAGTGGTCTATATTTTCATTCTAGAAGGTTGGTTTATTATTAGAAGCTTAGCCTAATGTTGATCGATTGATAATTTCGATCATAGGGGGTTTTATATTGGGAATCAAAATTATTAAAGCGATATTCTCCCTTTTAACTTTTACTTATTAACTATTGAATTATGAACAAGTTACAGAACTAATTAGTTTATTAAAAAATCGAATTAGCAATTTTTATCTCAATTATTAGGTGGATAAAATTGATCGAGTGGTCTTAGTTTGAAGATGAAATAGGGTATGGACCATGATATTAGAAGAATGAACTTTACTTGGTTGCCAACATAAACATTGAGTTATATTTTAGCAATTATCCACCTAACTAAGTAGGTAGAGTATGGCCAAAACAAACACTAGCCAAAAAAACACTTTTATATAATGATAAAAGAAAATAATTTTATTCTATTCAATCACTTAAAACATAATTACATGAGATAGTCTATAATAAGTGGAGCTTGTAACTTAAAAATGATACAAACATCATCCTACAACAGATTAATTAAGTAAACTCATAACATAAAAATTCTTTTCACCGTCAGTGCATATGATTTTAAGGACATTTTGGGCCTCCTCTCTTGGTCTTCCAATTATTGTAACAAGGGCAAAATTGTTTGTTCCCATAAGTCCCAGCAGGAACACAAAGACACTTTGCACAACATTTTTGGCAAAAGAACATACATGGCTTCCTGTATTGTGTATTTGAGCATCTATATGTGCACTTTGGTAAACAATCTGCAAAAAATAAATAATAAAAAAATTAAGTTCACATAGTATATTATAAATTCAACGGCGAAGACAGAAATTTCGCTAAGAATATTCAACTGACCACCCTTCGACTACTGTAACTCTATCCTATGAGTTCAGTAGCCAAGAGATCATAATTTGAATCATACATAATAATAAATATAAGGATGTTTAAGGGGAGTTCAAGAATTGATGTACATACATTATAAATTACATTATATTTTTTTACGAAAGATATTTAACTGATCACCCTTACTAGAATACAATTCATTTTTAATTACCTTGAGGATGGAGACTACCAGGAGTAGTACCATTCTGCAGAAAAATAAAAACAATTTTATAAGTAAGAATTGGCAAATTTCATAACCAAAAAAAAAAAAAAGGACAAAAAAAGTGATAATTCAAACAAGACTTACCATTGGTAAAGTGTTAGGAGGTTGTGGCTGAGGTGCTGGAGACTCTATTATTATTGTTGCCTGACATAAAAAAAATTTAAAAAAAATTGTTGTAAGAAACAATTAAAAGAAAGGTCTATATTAGTTCAACTAAACTTATTATTTTGAAATATATAAATTACTTTATAATGTACAAAATTCACTGACTCTAAATTTGAGTTCGATTGTAATTATGAAGAGTGTGTGTGGTGATAGCTTACATGGGTTCCAACAAGAAGAAGCATTATTAGAAGAGGGAGTAATAGCACTAGGCTAAGTTTCTTCTCCATTTTGTTGTTTTCTTGATATATTATATTGAACAAAAGAGAGAAATGATGTTTGATGGTTTATGTTGGTTGGGAATATTAGATAGATGAGGTATTTATAGGCAGTTGGAAACTC